ACTTCAGTTTTCAATAGCCATTTAACTCTCGACTTTTATCTGGATATTTCCCCTTTCAGTCTTAGTTACTCTTAATAATAAATTGCTTTGAACTGGCCGTTTCGAAATGAGTTTGTAAACTGCTATAACATAGATGCTTGCATAACGCATCAACCAATAATGATTCAGATTTGGGAGCCGAAACATTTTATTAACCAATAAGAAGAAATATGAACTAGAACTAAATCATTCTGAACTGAGCCTCCATCTTGATTTTAGTCATTCTTTCTAACAAGGCTGTTGTTGTTTCTTTTCTTACCGCAATGTCTTAAAAAATATAAAATTCCTTCAACAATGCGTAAATTTAAGGTAATGAAATGATTAAAATTTCAAGGCCATATAGGACCCATCAGTGGCTAGCAGATGAACACTGAATGTTCAAATCAGTAACTGATGAAACCCCCTTGTGGTAATGCAAACGCTGAGGTAAGGAGTGATAAAGATTCCTAATCTCCTCCTGCGATACATTCTGCCAGACATTCCTCAACTGCAGTTCCAGATCTACGACATTTTGGAATGTCCAAATCTGGAGGTCTACAATATCTCATTTATGTTCGCTTGGCGAAAGGTCTGGATGCCCTTCTGGCAAAGAAAGAGTATCAATACCTCGGAAACAGCTCAGAGATTAAATGTTATTGTACGTCGATGTTATTGTACTAGTGGCATCAAAAGTTGATGCCACTAGTACAACTTTTAATAACAGAGATTTATGATTTTGCTGGCTAATTTCTAAGAAACTTGCCTTTTATAGCCTAGTCGAGAATTTTAAGCCATGGAATTTTTCATGACCACCAGCAAACATTGTTCTTGTACAGTTTTCAGATAAAGGAAATGTCGTCTTTCCTGCTGAAATAAATGTTCTCCATTTATAAGGTAATTCTCCCGCCATCTTAACATGCCTTCGTGGTGTGGCGGTCAGCAGACTCGGCGCGTATTCGAGAGGTTCGTGGTTCGAATCCCGGCGAGGGCATTGCTCCTTTTTCATCTTCCCTGCTTTGAAATAACCTAATATCTTTACACGTTTACCTCAAGCCTCCTTTTTTGGTTTTCCATGTTTGACGCGGATTTATTTCGGATTTCTTAAAATACGTGAATTTTATTTTTGTATTTTTATTTGCTTCTAAAACATCAGTAGTAAACATTCGATGGCCACTAACAGAATAGATTAAATGTAGTAACAGTAAAGTCAGTATGGTACATGCATTATTGCATTTTAAGATATAACAGGTTTTTAAACGAAAGAACTTAGTCTTTCTTTGTTAGCAGCCACATGATTTTAAGTTGTGAATAGGTCGTATTTTTATAAATTTGAATGAATTCAATCTTATAAAATCGGATAGGTCAGAAAACAACGAAAGGAAGTTATATCGTAGTTACTCTCATTAAAACGAATAACTTTTCAGAATGTTCAAAGACAATAATTTTGTTCTATTTACTTTCTTCTTTGGAATAGGAAGTATAAACTAAATTATTTAATTTTTTAAGTCAGGATATTTTTGATTAAATGCACAAAAAATTAAAGAAAAAAAAAAAAAAAAAAAAAAGAGAGAGAGATTACTTTTTAGCTAAGTCACAACATTTTTAAGAGTGGCATGAGACAAAAATAAAAACAGAAGGAGTGCTTGAAAGTTATATTTGAGATATCAATAAAATTTTAAGGAGCAATAGAAGTAATTTATCAGGCATTAATTAAAAAAAATAAAAAAGGCTAAAAGCCCGTTGCGTATTTTCTCTAAAGCAGTGATTTTTCAAATTGTGTTTTACAGAACCCTGGGATTTCAATAAGTATTCCGCAAGTCAAAGTCAAAATTGAAAAGAATTTTTGAATACCCTGTAGAGTACAAATCTAAGCATCTGAAATAATTCATAAAATAATATTCTTAATTTTTGTGTTAATAATTATTCAGTTGAATACTGAATTAGTAACTACAGGTGTTAAATATTTAGTCAAATTATTCAATAAAAATTGTAATCAAATAATAATTTTCTTTCCATTTTCAACATAAGTCCGGGCTATGTCAGTATAGTTGCGATGCCTTTTTTTAAATATATGCTTCTCCAAGGACGGATGGTGTTCCATAGCAAAATATTTTTTATGGGTCGATAAAGTTTGAAGATTACTGGCTCTATATTTAAATCAGGATTCGCACAGAAATTAAACTTCTTTTTTCTTCGTCTTTCCCCAACTGACATAACGAGGTAGTTAACTACTGTTAAAACAGGCACTTCAAGATCTTTATGACCTTCCCTCATTTGCAACCGAAATGCTTCTCGTAATCACCGTACAGCACTTACTTCCTCAACCTCATATGGGGTTTAATCCAAGTCAGTCTTCGTTTGTGCGCTTTTCACGAAGCGAAACACGCTAAACGGAAATGAAGTAGGGGGAAAAATAGGGTATTTCTGCAGTTACTGTTACTATGGTAACGCGTTAAGCCGGGAGGGAAAATGACATTGAAAAGCCTGTTCTATAACAAATTTGGATAACTGAATACTTTTATGCCTACATTGCAAAAGACAATGAAATAGCTAACTGCGTTCTAAAAATGTAATTTATTTTACTAATTATTGCGAAAAAAAAATGGAAGAAATATATACAAGAAACGTGCATCTAAATCATTAAAGAAAAAAGAAACATCAGAATCAAGACGACAGGACTGATCATTCTGCAGAAGAATGAACAGTACCTCATTCATAATTAACATTACTGCTTTCGACATTTCGAAACGAAAATGAGGAGAAAATGAATTATACTGGATTAAAAAAATATTGATTAACGTAACTATTTATTAAAACAGTGCGCAACACCCCGTTGAAACGATTTCTTAACCATATTGTTTATTTCTGATGGGCAATTACATTTCTAAATTAAACAGTGACATTTCAGGAGAAGAAATAAACATGGACAGCCCATTATTGAACCATAATAAAGAGCTAACAGTTAAAATAAATTGCATCAGGTAGAAGGTAGGTATAAAAGAATTTCCCTATCAACTTTTCTGCGAGAGAAACAATATTATAGTAACTTTTCATTTGCTTTGCTTTTAAAACGGGAAGCTTTTTAATTATATAGCATAATTAAAAGTAGGAGTCTTCAACCTTTCACGCCCGAAAGCCACATCAATAAATTCACAAAGATCCGCGGGCCACATGTCTGTCCCAAAAAAAAAAAAAAAAAAAAAAAAAAAAAAAAATCTGAAATGTTTCAGATTTTAAATTACGTCCAAAGGGGCGTTTTTTAACATTTTGTGTGTTACCTTTCTTTATTAAATATCATGTTCCTCGCACTTAAACCATAAGATCCAGTGCAACATGCAATATCGCAAAATAGTTTTAAAACGAGCATATCTTTAGAATTTCCGATACAGAGACTCACGCGCTGGAGATAAAAATGTTTTTTCTGCACAACGTTGCCATTGCTCGCTTTGAAATCCTTGAGTTTGTTAATCAAAAATTCGTCAAAGTTTTAAAAAATAGGAAATCGATCATAAAACAAATTTCAAATTTCAAATTTGGTCTTCCACATGCTCATATTCGTTGAAGGATTACGTTATTCAAAATTCGATGACTCTATGTACCGTTGTTTTATCACAATACGAGAAATATACATACATTTATGCAGATTTTTCATTATTTAATTTCTTCAAATATAATGCAGGACTCTAACATTTTGTGGCAACAGTTTGAAAAGTGAACCGACATTTATGAGTCCGACGCAAAATGCCACAACGAAACTAATAGTCCTTCGGGATTCAAATCCCTTTGGACTAAAAAAAAAAAAAGTGTAGTCAAACAATTCGTGAATTTTCCTCCAAATGTTTGTCTGTCAGCCGGTTCTTGGTTTTGATTTTCGGATTTTCATTTTACAAAAGCTGTTCATATATGTAGGTACTGCCAAAGATAGAAGGCACGAAGAGTGCATGTTTACGAATTCCTGGATACGTGTCTTTGGTCACATACTTCGAATAAAAATCAATTAATGTAGGAAGAAGAAACTTGATTTTTCAAAAAAATCTGCATTTTACTGCAGAGTCTAACTGTAAATCTATAAATTCTAATTGGAGTTGGAACAATATTACATAAGAAAAAGGTGAAATTTTAGAAAAAAATTCCTCATTTTCAGAAAATGTTATCTCAAATTTCAGGCATGTCAATAAAATGTTTTAAATATCAAGAAATAAGGGGAATTTTTTTTTACGGCAAAACGCTGACAAGGCAATTTTTCTTGAAATCAAAATTTCTTCAAATGCAAATGTGGGGCAACCAATACACCTTCAGCGGGCCACGGCTTGAAGACCCTAATTTAAAGCATGAATTTCATATTGCCTAAAAAAAAGTGATCTGCACTTTTTGGGATTGTCTGATCGCCTTCGAAAATCATATTTTATGCAAAATCTACGTCAAACAAAAGTTACGCCACCACAGCTTTTTGAAAAATGCATATCTTCTTGAAATTTTTGTTGAATCGCAATAAAGAATGAAACCCAAATATGATTTACTTACCGAGATACATATAACAAAAATCAGCGTGCATTACTTCACAAAAGAACCAGTGAAGTTATTCATTGTATGGCCTAAACTCCATTCTAAATAACGTAATAAGGAGCGTTTGTATACGGAAAGAAGATTTGTTTAATACTCTGTGTGTAGTGCTGCTTGGTTTGGAAAGACAAATGAGGAACTCCAAAACTATAGCCTCAAAGAAACAGACTTTCAGTGTTAATGCAAATCTGTTGAAGTTTTAAATGGTGTTATAGACTGAGACCAGAGTTTAGGTTTACACTTTTTTTTTAATAATTTTATTCTGTAGTTTCGTAATTCATAAGCTGGATTTTCCCTGCTGGTAGGTCAGCCGAGAGAATGCTTCCAGCGCAAAGGTTTAATACTGAATCAACATTAAAATAAAGACCTAACAAATACATGCGACAGATGGGAAAAGATTTTAAAAAAAGTGTTATTACCTTAGAGCCGCAACGAAGATTCGATCCTCCCCCACCGCTCCGAAATCCACACTCTCCCCAACAGGGGTTGTTTCTCCTGGTACTCCACGCGGTGTAGTCCTCAGCCTCCATCGGGAGCTCTGGCTCCTCTTCTCTCAATGACTGCCTCGAGCCCGTGTTTCCAACCGCAGGATCTTCGCGACACGCTCTGCTGGGAGGGAGAGAGAGAGAGCCTTTCCGCTGTTGTTCCGGGGAGAGAGGAAGGGAGAGGTGGAATGGAGAAAGGAGGACGTAAACGGCGCGACAAAACTGCGCGCGTTTTCTCGCAGACGCGCGGAGATGAGCTAGCTCGCTATACTCTCGTCCACCCCCTTCTATTCGATGTCGCCGCCGGGATATTCCTTTCGCATTTTTTTTTTGAGGATTTTCGTTTTTTTTTTTTTTTTTTTTTTTTTTTTTAACCATTCGTCATTTAGTAGGAAAGGAAAAATTCACAGAGATATCGGTTTTCACGTTCTGGAGCTTTACCGATGCTGCAAGTATCGTTTTATCAATGTTTCATAATATATATAGTTCAGGTTCAGGTTAGTAACGGGGGGTGGAAAGTGAATAGAGAGGTCTCGAGTGCAAAGTTGCCAATTGATATTTAAAGTTTTGAAAACAACAATACTACAGAAGCAACATTTTAATTTGCATTACTTGTTAATTGAGTGTCAGTATTTTCATTATAATTTCCATTGCTCGTTTGTTTTCAACAATCCTTAACTTTTACAATGAGCGACAATACACAGACTTCGCAAGGAGAATACAACAAGAATTCTTAAAACTCTTCAAAAACCAGTTTTCGTTCAATAATAATTTTATACAAAAGCCGTATCCATTTCAACAGAACATAAAACAGATCCTTCTGCTTCGGATCCCCCCCACCCAACAAAAAAACTTATGAGTAATTTGCAATCAAAATACATGCGACATTACTACCTTATTTCTTATTTTTATAGTAGATCTTCTTTTTTTACTTAAAAGTAAATAAATTAAAAACCTTTGTTACAATGTTAAACCTTTGCACTGGAAAACATTCTCCCGGTTGACCTACCAGCAGCGAAAATTCAGCTTACAGCTTACGAATTACGAAACTACAGAATAAAATTATTAAAAAAAAAGTGTAAACCTCAACTCTGGTCTCAGTCTATAACACCATTTAATACTTCAACAGATTTGCATTAACACTGAAAGTCTGTTACTTTGAGGCTATAGTTTCGGACTTCCTCCTCTGTCTTTTCAAATCAAGCAGTACTGTATGCAGAGTATAAACAAATCTTCTTTCCGTATACAAACGCTTCTTATCACGTTATTTTAGCATGGAGTTCAGGCCGTACAATGAATAACTTCACTGGTTCTCTTGTGAAGTAATGCACGCTGATATTTTTTTATATGTATCTCGGTAAATAAATCATATTTTGGTTTGATTCTTTATTGCCATTTCAACAAAAATTTTAAGGAGACATGTATTTTTCAAAAAGCTGTGGTGGCGTAACTTTTGTTTGGCGTAGATTTTGCATAAAATATGAGTTTCGAGGACGATCAGACAATCCCTCGTTTTCAGAAGAAAAAAAAAAAAAAGAGCAGATCAATTTTTTTCAAGGCAGTATGAAATTCACGCTTTAAATTATACTATATAATTAAAAAAATTGTCCGTTTTAAAAGAAAAGTAAATGAAGAGTTACTATAATGATGTTAGTTAGCTGGTGTGCAAGCCATTATTCTTACCAAGGTGCACAATATGTTTTGTTAGCAACGTTAATCTTTCAGTAGTAATAATAATGATCCAAAGGTTTCTCTAAAAATAACACGAATTAGAATGTATTATACATTACACCAATTACAAATAACATTAAATAAAGAATAATTATTATAATAAATATTAAGAAATATGTTAAATTGCTTTTAAATTAATTCTATACATTGCTTTACAGATTTACACTTTTAAATTACTCAGTCAGTAAAGGAATGTACAGACTTAATTTGAGAGATGAATTTAAAGATTTTATGGCAACAGTCGGATAATTTGCCAGGCGGAATCGATGATAAATGCTTTGGAATGGTTACATAACAGAATAACAAAAGGAGTGGAAAGACTAAGCTAGACGCTTTTCATGACCCGCCCACCCAAAAAAATTCTCAACTAAAAATTAAAAAATTAAAAAAACATTCTAAAAAAAAAGTAAAAAGTA